AAAAAAAAAAAAAAAGAACCTACATTCTTCTCTCAATTTCACCTCACGCTACCTACCCTGCAGGTCGGGAGCAGCCCCCCGCATGTTCTCTCGTGAACACGGTTCTGGCTGCTACGGGGTTCCCCGCAACTTCCTTTTTGTTTTGGGAGTAGACACCACCCTCCATAACACAAAGAAAGCAATGAAAACTACAAATTGAAAAATCTAGCATTTTGAAGTTTCAACCACAAACAATTTAGTTCAACGAGGAAGAAAAAAAAAGAAAAAAAAAGTCAGTTTCGATGAAATGGTAGTTCGACTGATGAAATGGTAGTTCGACTGTGTTCGCGGCGGCTGTTATTTTCCTTGTATCAGGGCATCCTATCCTATCCTATCCTATACTCTTAAGGAGGGCAAAGGGCCCAGCATGACGCTTCCCGCCGGGTCCGGCGAAATTCGGCGTGGAGGCGGGCGGGACTGGGGCAAGCTAAATCGGCCGCGGCGTTTCGTGGTGGGACTGCGGGCGGGAGCGAGGGAAATTTGGTGTGGCGGCGGGCGGACTGGTGCAAGGCATATCAGCGGCTGTGAAGGGCCCGACGTGAAGCTTCCCAGCAGGCTCAGGGAAAATCGGTCCCGTGCGGCAGGACCACAAAGCGGCCCGAGTGAGGTAATATGTGCCGCACCTGGAAGATGCAGATTTGAAAACCACGCGGAGCACTCAGAAGGGAGCGGGCGAACGCGGTCGGTTTATTTTTTTTATCCTCCGCCTTTTGGGCGTTTTTTCGTGAGCTTCTGTTCATGTGCCGTTTGGAAAGTGGGAGAAGGAGCTCGCGCTAAGGGGAGGAGGAGGTTGCGCAAGCGGGAGGAGGAGGTTGTGCAAGCGAGAGGACGAGATTGATAGGGGGAGGATGACATCGCGCAAGGGGGAGGAGGAGGTCGGAAGGAAGGTTGGAGGAGGTCGCACGACAGGGAGGAGGAGGTCGTTCAAGGAGGAGGAGGTCGTGCGAGGGGGAAACGGACGTTGCGCAAAGGGGAGGTTGTACGAGGGGGATGAGGAGGTGGGAAGACGATGTGTGAGGGGCAGGAGAAGGTCGCACAAGGATTGGAAGGAGGTCGCATGAGGGGGAGGAGGAGGTCGAGCAAGGGAGAGGAGGTCGAAAGAGGGGGAGGAAGTCGGGCGAGGGGGAGGAGGGGGTCGCGCGAGGGGGAGGAGAGGGTTGCGTGAGGGG